AAACTTTATGTTCTGATCCCATGCTAAAGCATATATAAGTACATGCAAATCGTCATTTAATGAATTCCTTTTGAAGCTATATCCTTGGATCATACATTATTCGTATATAATTTTACGGAGAATATTAAGTATGATTACAAGGAAAAAGAACTTTAGAAAGCTATCTATTTTATTTCACTATTTACTTTGTTTTATTTCATGAGAAAAAAGTATCTTGATAATTAAAGTTCATTCTAAATAGAAATATAGTCAAGGAACATCAATAACAATAGAGATATCAAAGACACAGCCTTTTACTGTAAGTTTTTATAAAAATCTTAGTACAATTCTTTATACACATAAGATGTCTTGTAAAATTTTATTGCATTTATGTGGTGTATTAATAATAAATAGAATTTTTATGTTTGACTGTATATCTTACATGTCATTATTTAGTATCACGTATAAGTAAATTATACTCATTGTCTTCAATCAATATTTTTTAGAACACTTAAATGAATATTATAAAAAAAGTCAAATCTTTCATAATTGCATATCAGACTTAATTTTTTTCAGATGTAATTTTATAATTATTTGCTTAATAAATTTATCCAAAAGATATTTGTACAAGTACTGATAACATTATATTAGAAAAAAAGACAAATCGAAATAACTTGTCATTTTATTTAAGGACATTTTCGTTCTACTTGACTTTTGCCACTTTCTTCGTATTCTTGACTTGATATCCACATTTGTTGAAAAGTTCCTATTGAAGCCAAAATAGATCCACCGATCCAAGCTCCGAATCGTCGTTCAGCACATCCATTTACACTAATTAATTTCAATCTCATACTGGATGGAATTCTCATGGAAAGATCTCGATTTAAACGTTCTGGAAATCCCTAAAGAGAACAATATATTAATAAATATAAAAAGTTGTTTAAATAAAATAAAATTTATTAATAATATAATACCTGAATGAATGAATTACCACCAGTCACAACAACACTACCATAAAGTGCTGGTCTTACATCAACATCACACATGCCTACACTAGTTGTAACAATATGACCTACTCCTAACATAGTATTACCAACCATACCACCTCGCATTTGTACCATACTGGGATCAAAAAGTGCTTCCGGTATGCGAAATCTTTCACTTCCAAAATCCTTAAAATATATTTTTCTTATTAAATATTTAAGTAAATTTTTGTAAATTTTAATGATAGATTACATATTAAATATTATATACCTGATGATATCCAGTAGGAAATTCATATTGAACTGCAGGAATTGTAGAAACAATTTTTTCATCATATGGAGTTTCTGAGACTTGCAATACTGTAGCTTGAAAATCCTGAATAAGTTTCTTTACCATATAATTATGCCAAGATTTGGTAACTTCAGGCAATCCTTTTTTTTTACCATCTTGGCTTTTCATGATCTTTAACAACTTCTTTACTGCCCACCATGTAAGAAGGGGACAAATCAATGTCATTATCCTGTTGTTATTTTGAAAATATAATTATCCATCTTTTATGTATTATCATAAAACAATATTAAATTGAAAACATATTTATACTTGTAAAAATTGTCTGCACTGCATACTTATATAATCTCCTCCAAGTGGAGACTTAACTATTGCCTGTGTTAATACAAAACCATCTTGTACTGGTACAGCAGAAGTATGTGTTGCTCCACTATCAACAACAATACCAGTTGCTCTACCATTTGCAAAAGCAGCAAGAACTGCATTTTTAACAAGGAAATAAGCTGGTACATTATACTTCTCAAACATTAATTCAGTTAATTTTTCTCTTTTACTACGTACATTCCATGGTGATTCAGAAAACAATACTGGATGATATTCTGCGTCTGATTGAATTACTTTAGAATAAGTATAATCTAAAACCTTTAAAAAATTAAAAAGATATAATTATATTATTCTAAAGATAAATGAGAATAATATTTACATTATAATTTATTAATATATTTTTTACCTTTTCAAAGTGATCCCAATCTTCAATCATTCCATCTTTCATGTAACTTACAACTTCCATACTTTTTCTTGGAACATGAAGTATAGTAGTATCAATATAATATTTGGTCCCAGATTGTGTAATGTTGTTGTCTGGCTTTTTATCATCAATATCCATTGGTTCTGTTTTTGTTACTGTGCAATTACCATCTTCTCCTATACCTACAACAGCTGGAATTTCAGCTTTTGGAGTATCTTCTTGAGCATAACCAACTCTTAAAGAATGATGTCCCAAATCAAATACTAAAGCTCCAATTTCATCTCCTCCATAAAGCATGCCACCTGACATTTTGCTGATTTTAAAATATCTATAACAATAAGATTATTTTAATTACAAAACTTAATAACAAAATTCTTATTTAATATTTAAATTTATATTATTAAGAAAGTCTATATTAAAATAAAATTTTCTGTAAAAATAATATAAATAATAAATATACCAAATAAAAACTAAAGCGATAAAGGATAGATAAATTTATTGATTATAAACAAATTTTTATTTTGACCTTATAACTCACCGTAATTTTCTTACAAAAATAACTTAATGAAGTGGCAAAAATATATATACTTGACGACTACATCAACATTTATTTATGTATTTCTACAACAGAATACAACAGAAACATAACCTCAATTCAGAAAGACGCTTAATGCCGCCACCATAAACATAATAATCTTTAGATAAGCATGCTTTTTTATCGAATTCTGTAATTTTCTCATATCCATGTTTTGATAAAATTATAAAAAATTGTTGATTTATTATATATAATTTTAAAATATAATAATATTAATTTTATAATATAACTATATTTATAAATATTTTTCTATTATTTAATTAATATTAAATGTAAAGTAATATGAATGAAATATATAACTTCGTATAAAAATTAATGATTCTTTTGTAACAAATAAAATTTTATTTAAAATCTATTTATAAGAATATCTATTTATATGAAATAATCATCTAGATTGTCAATTCTTAGAAATAATGAAAAATATATTTATTTTTTTAAACCACCTGTTATTTCTGTAAAATCTCAATGATGTCGCTATAATCGCAAGATGTCCACGAAATGGCGGCACTAATCAGAACGTCGGTAGACTTGGGACGATGAAGAGGTGTGTAGTTATCTTTTAGCCATGTTTTGTCGTTTGATTTGTAATTGTGCTGTGCAAAAATGAGGTTTGTGGATGCGAGACTCAATCTGTCGTTCCATGTGCGACGGTGAGTCAAAGAAATTGGCATGTGTTCGCTCAACAGAACATTGTATGCTCGTGCAGCAATCGTATAAGAAAACTACGGTGGATTTTTGTACGCGTCGGAGTCTGTGACACCCGCTGGCCTAATGGAGCCGCGTACTCTTGCTATCCCGTTGGCTTTGTTGACATTCGTCATATTAGGTAAGTTTAATTTACTCTTGTCATGAAAGTATGTTATCTTGCGTTATTTTTATTTAAAATAATGTATTTATTATAAATATATTTCATTGAGATATTTTAGTATTAAAAAGTGATTTAAAATTCATATATATATAAAATCGAAAATATAATTATCATGATATGATTGTTATTGGCAAATATAATATAAAAATATTTTTTCATTAATTTTTATTCTTGAAAATATAACCTGATTTTATTATATTTTATCTAATGTGAATATGAAAATGGAAAACATTGTCTATCATTTTACAGTAACTAATGTTTGCATCTCAATTTATCATGATAATAAGCAAATATTTATAAAAGCATTTTACCATTTTCAATTTATTAATCTTTTAAATATAAGAAATTATATTTAAAATATTTCGAATTATAATGAAAACTTTTTGTTATAAGATTTAAAGTCTGAAAATAATTATTTTTTGTATAAATGCATAGTAAAAAAACCATTCTAGATACCGAATTCTAGATATTAATATTTCTTCATTTCTTTTCTTAACTTATAATATACTTTTATATTTGTTTTTATTCCAATAAAACGTTTTGGATCATTGGATAAGTTCGAACAATTTATTTAAGAATCAAAATTTCATATGCTAAGTAAGACAAATAAACACATAAATAATTTTAACGTATATAAAAAAAGTATTTTTAATAATTTATAATTATTTTGAAAAATTAAGTTGAGAAGCACTGAATTCGGGTAGCTATTATTGATGTAGATATGAGAAGAATGTAGTAAGTATAAAGGGATGATTCGGGGATGTATTTCCGATTGTAACGATTTGGACGGAGATATATCCCTTGATATTATCCTAATAATAAAAAATTGTTTTTTTGATAAAAGTAACAATGAATTAAAAGAATTTTAAATCAAAATTAAAGATTATTTTCTAGCATATGCTATATAGTATAAGATTATTTTTTAGCATATAATATAAATTTGCGCGCATATGTAAATAAAAGTTTCGAACTATTACGGATTTATTAAAAAGATTACACTTTCGTTAGAAATATTTGCATTTAAACATTTTAGCGAAGTATTTCAATAACGCGGCAAGCCTCTCCTTATGATTTTATCATGATAGGAAATGCATGTGTTAAACATTCAGTGTCGCTATGCCAATCTATCACCAGAACTACCCACGCTAAAAATAAAACGTTCTATTCTTTTTTCCGTATAGTAAAATATCATAGGACTATCTCCTTTATTATTCTTCTTGTTTGCTTTCGATCATTACATACATTCGTCTAGTTAGATATAAAGATCCATTTCCGGCTCGTTGTGGTGAAGAAGTATACAAACACTAAAAGGGGTCTTAAAAGGATGCGTTCCTCAAATAAACCAGTTAACTTTCTCCGAGATACGATTAGATATACTGATTTGCAAGTAAGTTACAGTACAATCATGAATTTTTAAATAGAAATTTAATAATAATTTGAATCTTAAATATATATTTCAATATATATCGAACATTTTTATATTAATTGTATTAATGAAAAAAATTGAAATTTTTATTTTATTTTTTTATTTTCTTTTGAACAATATAAGTATAAGAACTTGTTTGTGACGTATATTCAGTATAAATATGAAGATCCACTCTAATGTTGATATTCCAAATACGGAACAGATCATGTAACATACACGCGTCCAAATGTGTTCCATGTAAAGTGGTATTTACAAACGTGTGTACTCTGCGTCTGATGTCGTAACAACACCTTAATGGTCAGCGCCCACGCAATGTATGTGCATGCATATTAATATATAAGGTGATTTACCTAAAATATTTTCTTTTACATTTTAACATTTAAGGAGTTTTAATTCTTTTTTATTTAATCACAATTCATTACAGAAAAATGATATTTATCTAAAATTGCAATGTATTAGCAATTCTATTATATATTGCCAGTTATAAGTTAGATACATGTTAATATGTTATCTTTTCAAGATAGTTCGTTCTTCATTTCTTTGATTTTCATTCTTGTTTAATTTTTCAACAATGTTTCAACAATATTTTGAACAAAAGTAACGATCACGGCACAAAGAAAATATTTTAAGAGAAAGAAAAATAAAAAAAAATCTAATTCAAGGAATTAATTTATTAATTATAAAAATCAAGCTTAGATTTTTATATATATATTAACATATACAAACGATTAATTGATTTTCTTATAGAAAAGGATAGCAATATTTATGAGACACTGTGTAGACTTGTTGTAGTACGATATATATGTACCTTGCCTTCCTTCACGGTCTGTTCGTCACATGTTGAGTACTTTTACCGCGTTTTTCAACATTCTCCCTGCTTCCCTTACTAACTTCCACAGATGTATGAAACTACTTCGCAAATTAATTCTTATTGTGAAAAAATTTATAAGATTTATTAACATACAAAAATTCGCATAAGGTAACTATGTATTTAGAAGAATTTATAAATCAAGAGATTATACAAAAAAAAATTAATTTAAAAAATTAGAAAAAATATTAATATTAATATTAATATTGAACAAAATAGTAACATTCATAATTGTAAAGTATAAAGAGAAAATGCGAAATGATCTTTATGTCGATCATGTAAATCTTATCTTTAGGAAATTACATTTAATTTGGTCTGAGATAACGACATTAAGATTTGTTCGTACATGTAAGTTTGTACATGATACTTTCATTTTCCTTCTCTTTCTTCTCAATTTCTTTCTTTCACTCTCGTAAAGACCGTACTACTAAACAAGATGTATAAACTGATGTCTGATAAACGCCCTGTAGAAAATAAGGTGCAGTGGTTGTTACGGCGACAGATTTACCTCGCGCATGCACTGCAATGGTTCTCCTCTTGATCTATTTCAGTATGCCGTGCGGTAGGTTGTCGCCCGCGCTCATAAATCAAATAGTCAGACAGCGAACGGTTTATTTTCCTTGAGAATGCACCATCGTGGCGCTATCAGGCGCCAAATTTCGCACGTTCCTTCCTTTCTCTCCTATTTTTTTCTTACTCTCCAATATCTACTTTTATATTTTCGTAAACAATTGATAAAATTAATTTTGAAATGTAAAAAATAAAAAGTTCGATAATCACAATCATTAGCATTCAATTCATTAGTTCGATATAATCGATATCAACACTTTTAATTTTATAAAGTTGACTACATTATAGTATTAAAAATTTAAATTTATATTCATATAAGAGGTATACTATTAAAAATGAATAATAATATAATATAATATAATATAATATATAATAAATAATATGAAAATGATATAAAAATACCAGTATGAATTACTTTTATTAATCGTTGAAGACGTGTTCGTTTCTGAAGATTATACGGTGACAGACCACCGTGAGTGTGAAACTGTAACCCAATAACCGTAGACAGTGTTTCTCAATTTTATGGAAAAGTTGATTGAGTTATATGATGTTGATTGATATATGATTATTTATGATTATTTCAAATGATTATATTTTATTTTCATACTGTTTAATCTTTATATATTACAGATATCGAATTAATTATAATATTTAATAATTTTGTCTCGTATTATTATATGAAATTTTATACTTAATTTTTTATATTCTTTATTTATTAATATTTTTAATAATAGTTTTTTTTATATATATTTATTAGTTCAATTATTACAATTATCGATTAGGACGATTATTAGTTATTATAGTATTATTAGTTTGAGAAAATATTTCATAATTATCTGCATATAATATATATTTTTTTAAAAAACTCTTAAAAAATTTTTAAGAAAGCTTTAATATCATGACTGTATTTTCTTATGTCAATCCTTAAGATCTATTGCATATAAATAAAGATATAAATAAAAACAAAGCTATATATTATATTTAAAACTATCTCATTACTAAATAATATTTTAAATAATTTAAATATTGAAACAATATATTGAAAAGTTTTAATTTCATAAAGAATGTTTATAAAAATCTAATAATTGTGAGAATTTATATTTACGATTTTTTAAAAAATATAATTTTTTTATATATTGATTGTTTGAAATTAAATAAAAATTAGTATTCACTAGAAATCATTCCTATCGCGTTCATAGTTCTGTCAAGTTTTTCTTATTTCTTTGTTCTCACAAAGAATTATTCAGAAAAGATGTTGAATCCTGCGTCGTAGTTGTATACGTCTATCGGACGATCGCAAAGCCTTGTAAAAGAAAAAAAAGAAAGGAAAGAAAAGAGAATTTAGGCGCTCGGCTCGGGTGTCTTGCTAAAGGGTGCTTATATAGGGTTGCCGACCCTTTATTCATTTTCTTTTCTTCGCTTTATAACACATTGGTATCTCCTTTTTTATATCTAAACCTCTTTGTTGTTTTTTAAGATTTATTATCATAATATTTAATTATTATTTAATCTATGAAATAATATATTAAATTCAGTTATAATTTGATGTTATGACTACTATGTTATGATGTTATTTTTTACTCTTTTTAATAAAATACTTATCTATTAAAATATTTTATTTTAAGTTATTTTTAAATACTGTACATTTAACTACAATTAGTTATATAAAAGTATTATAAGCTTATATTTATAGTTTCTTTATTAGAAATGATATAGCAAATAATGTATTCTCTTCTCAGCAGCTAATGCAAGTGGATTGTATTTTACTATTGAACCACAAGATGTAGTAGTTGAACAGGGAAATCCTGCTAGATTGGATTGTGAAGCAAACAGTAGTTTTGGGAAACCCAATATACAATGGAGAACTGATGATGGACAACCAATTAATTTTATTGGAGATAGTTATAGGCATGAATATCAAGATTTAGAATGATACATTTTTCTTAAAAAAAAATTTTTCTATTTCTAATATATCTTTTTTTTATAGATCTCAATTAAGTAATGGATCCTTATATATAAATAGTGTTTATGGCACTAATTTGGAATTGACTGGAAGCTATCAATGTTTAGCTTCTGTAGATGATATTGGAGCTATTGTTTCTCGAATTGCCACAATTAAAATTGCTAGTTAGTACCTAGAACTAATATAAATTTTTGAAATTGTAGTTCATTATTCTATATAAAATTTTATTTTAAAGGTTTACCAGGATTTGAAAGAGAACCTCAGGATACTATGGTTTATCCAGGACAAATTGCATATTTAAGTTGTACACTTCTTACAACTTCTAGTTCATTGATTATACAATGGTTAAAAGATGAACATCCATTGATACTTGATAGTCGGATGACAATTTTGCCATCAGGTGCATTAGAAATTGATAATGTTAATATGCAAGATGTTGGATCATATAGATGCAATGTTAGTAGTTATGGACAATATAGGCTTAGTAATAAAGCACAATTAGGATTGTTAACAAGTGATATTGGTAAGTACAAATATTTAAATATAATTTCTATAAAATAATGAATTTTAATTTATATTTTGTAATGTAGATCAAGAAAGTACTCCACCAGTTTTTATTGCTAAACCATTACAACAAGTAATTATCGAAGGATCAACAATTACACTTGAGTGTGCTGCTAATGGTTACCCAAAACCAAGTATACTTTGGCTGAAAGATGGTGTTGCTATTGATTTAGCATCTTTTAAATCTAGGTATATAAAAAGAATATACAATATAAAAAATTATAATATTTAAATTTTTATTTCATTATTTAGATATAGTAGAGTTGCTGCATCTAGTCTTGTGATTAGCAATGTTGAAGAAATAGATAATGGTTCTTATCAATGTCGTGCAGAAAATGAAGTTGAAATATTAGATGCAACTGCTGATTTAATTGTACAAGGTATTTAATTTCTGTTAATAATAATATATATATATATATCATATATTCATTATTTTGCTTCATATTATTACTTTTTAGTTCCACCAAGATTTATTAAAAAACCAGAAGATAAAATAGCTAGTGAGAATCAAGATTTAGAATTTGAATGCGAAATTTATGGTAAACCTCAACCAAAAATTACATGGCTCAAAAATGGAGAACGTATTACTTTGAGTGCATATTGGCAAATTGTTAATGGGTAAATCTTTAAAATATCGATTATAATAAATTATAATATATAGTAAATCATTATAAAGTAAATATTTCTTATTATAATATTATTTTCAGTTATAATCTTAGAATTAATGGCCTATTACCAATAGATGCTGGAATTTTTCAATGTATCGGAACAAATTCCGCTGGAACTATTCAAGCTGCAGCGCGCTTAACAATTAATCAACCTAGTAAGTATCGATTCTACAATTACAACTATATATTTTATATAAAATATATATATGTATATATGTATATATATTTTATATAAATTTCAAATGTAAATATATTTTAAGTTAAAAATTTTTTTTAATTATTTTTGTAATGTTCAAAATGTTAACATATTTATTAGCTAGTTATTATTTTTTATAAATTTATTTTTTTAATTTGTTTAGAAATATAATATATGTTATTTTCAATTTATTATTTTTTTATACAAATTTTTAATTTTATGTTTACTTTTTTCCACTTGTGTGTTTCCTCCTTTTTTAACTGTGTTGCATGCTAACATTTATATTCAGAAAAGGCAATTTCCCATAAATCAACTACTCCAAAGACAGTTCCTAAAAAGAAATTATTATTACATCGGCAATTATATAATAAAACGTGGCAGCATCCGAGTACTCTTTTAGGTCACACAATGTCTGCATTTACACCTAATCCATCGCTTTCCATTAGTCCCTCTGATGACCCTGCAGATCTTCCTGGATCTGTTAGATTTCCTAATTCCCATTACGATCCAAAATCCCCTTTTATAGATGACACAGACAGTTTGGAATCGATAGAAGGAAGTGTTCCATCAGCACCAAGGAATTTAAGTCTCGTCATTGTCACTGCTAGATTTGTAACTTTAAGATGGCAAGAACCTGAAAATACAAATGGAGAGATTCTAAATTATTATATTTATTATAAACAAGAAGGTGCTCAAAGGTGATAATTAGTCTATAGATAAACACGTTTATCTTGATAATCATGTTTTGTATACAATGAAAATAAAAAAAAAATATAAAATCTTACAGAGAAAGAGTTATTAATACACAACAAAAATTAGAGGCAGTAATACGAGGTTTACAACCAAGTATGACATATCACTTTCGAGTGGTTGCTTTGAATGAAAGAGGTTCTGGAATATCTAGTGAAGTATTACAAGTTACTACACTTACTGAGGTCCGTTTAAAATTTTAAATATATTTTATACATAATTAAATAAATTATTCTATGATCAAATTATTTTAAATTTATTGTAATAGGCTAATGTTCCTGGACCTCCATTGAATTTAGAAGGATATGCCACAAGTAGTGTGAGCATTGCATTATCTTGGGAAGAACCACAAGTTACTAATGGCAAAATTTCTAAATATATAATTACATTTGTAGAGGTATATTTACAAACTTTGTAAGATGTTAATAATTATGTACTTTTTAATTAAAATTTCAATTTCTTTGATTATTTTATTTAAAGGGTGACAATGAGGAAATAATGCGTGAAACCACTAGCACAATGCACGATTTAATAGATCTCGTGCCTTATACAGAATACAGTATTAAAGTTCAAGCTGTAAACGAGAATGGTCCTGGCGTGTTTAGTAGAGATATAGTAGTTCGAACTTATAGTGCACAACCTACTCAACCACCACACAATGTCACTGTAGAACCAGTTAGTCCTACAGTACGTATTACATATTTTAAAATTTCATATAATCAAATATTTTTAATATCATTTCATTATTTTTTCATGTTATTTTTTAGAGTATTATGATAAGATGGGAACCACCGCTTGAAGGACAAAATGGGATTATTACTGGTTATAAAATTCGTTATCGCCGTCATGATCGAGCATCACCACCAGTAAATATAGCAACTGAAGGAAATCAACGTTCACGAGTGCTCACAGGACTTGAGAAACATGTTGTTTATCAAGTTCGTATATGTGCCTTAAACGTAAATGGAACTGGACCTTGGACAGAATGGATACAGATAGAAACATACGAAACTGAATCTGATGAAAATCGCGTACCAAATACACCCAGCAATTTAAGA